TTAATAAAATATACCAAAGTAATTTACGTCGAGACAGTTTTTTTTTCTGCGCGATATAAAAGCAGCGAATAATGATAGTGTTTCGGTATAACTTAGCATATGTAAGCAGGTTGGCAGAGGGATATATGTTTTGTTTTTCTGGTTATTCGGTACTCACTGCAGTACTCGAGAGCTGCATTCTATGTACATACACACACACACACACACGAACTCAATGGAATAATGCATAATCAAGCAGGCTAAATTTCAAACACAAATTCATAAATATATTCCATTGATATATTAGAAATTTAGATACTGTTCTGTGTATAGAAATTGTATTGCCATCATGATAATGTTTTGTATTTTTTACCGACCAGTAGCTTTTTGGGGTGACGGAAAACACCATGTTGTAATGTTTTGTAATGTCTCAAAAATTCATTACGAAAGAATGAATAAGTTGGTGAAGAATAAAGACTATCCCAAAATAAATGTCTCAAAATATAGGCTATTTAGCTCATGGAATTTGCGAGGACATCATTAAAACCCTCACTTCGTTACAGCATCAAGTTGGGTTTGTTGTGGGAACATTTCTAAGCCAGTTCTCCCCTCACGAAGATTCTTTTGTGTTCACGTTTTCTTTGATTGGTGAGCCATTGCGACAGTGATCGTGATAAACCCGTAGAGTGTTATTCGTGGTTAACATTACAGTAATTTGAAAGATAGGAGTAAAAGAGAGAGAACGAGTGAGAAATGTCTCATCTGTTGTGTGGTGGCATTATTTGAGAAACAAAGATTAGATTAAGTGAACGAGTGATTGTGTTGTTTAATGATCCACCTGCTTGTGTGATTATAATTTGAGAAGAAGTTAGATAGATAACAGAGTGAAAGCTTGGGGATTAATGGGTTCAAATTACAGTTTTGGTTTTGTAATTATCCTTGAGACACCTTCAGCAAATTCCTCTCGTGTAGCTGTAAATATGATGAAAATTCGTCAATGCCTTGTTGTGGTGAGATTACTATGTAGACTGAAGAATTTTATTATTATTATTATTATTATTTTGTTGTTTTTTGTACTGTTGTTAATAGGTGCTGTTAGTAGTAGTATTATCATATTTGTTAATGTTATTGTTATCACTTCATGTAATTACATTTCAGTTATTTATATTGTTTTTGTTATTATTGTTCTTTGGGTGTTTTAGGTATTTATCCCCTGAACATTTAGCCATAACCAGTCGAGAAGTATTAACATTCGGCAACTCGAGGTATCGGATACAAGAGTTATGGAAAGTTAGAAAGTGAATTATTACTTTATAATGTAAATTTTATGGTAATTTGTTTATTGTTGTTGGGTGAGTGGAGTGGCGTGGGCGAGTGGAGTGGGGAGGACAGGAGAGGGAGTGGAAGTGGGGAGGACAGGAGAGGGAGTGGAAGTGGGGAGGAGAGGGAGTGGGGAGGACACGAGAGGGAGTGGAAGTGGGAAGGACAGGAGAGGAGTGGGTGGGAGGACAGGGAGAGGGTGGAGTGGGGAGGACAGGAGAGGGAGTGGGGAGGACAGGAGAGGTGGGTGGGGAGGACTGGCGTGGGTAAGTGGAGTGGGGAGGACAGGAGAGGGAGTGGAAGTGGGGAGGATAGGCGTGGGATTGGGTGGAGGGCGCAAGCATATGGGTGTGGCTGGAGTGAGCATGGGTAACGGGCGTGGGCGTGGTTGTAAGGCTTGGGTTGAAATGGGTAAGGGTGACAGGCGTGGGTGAGGGGTGATATGGTTGGGGGGGGAGGTGAGGAGTGTGGGCGTACGTGACGGGCGAGGTTGACATCGTGTGATAGTAGGTGGTGTGCGGGCGTTGGCAAGGATGACACGTGAGTGGTGTGGGCGTGGGTGACGGGGCATGGTGGGTGACAGATGGGTGACGCCCGCCTGGAGTGTTGCCGTCGTGGTCCCGCCCTCAGTCTATCACTCACTCGTCACACTCAACGAAACATTTGTCCGGTGATTCGTAATAATACACACTTAGCGTCACGTCGTTTATATATACAGTATTTGTATTAAGTTTTTAAACACTGGCTTTTATAATCTGAATTTTTACACATATAAGATACATATTGCACACACACACACACACACACACACACACACACACACACACACACACATATACATAGTCACACATCTATACATTCATAATTATGTGTACTACTTTACAAATACACGCGGGTAGCTCATTAGCTTATTAGATTAACATGCGCGTACTAAGTTCATATTTGTATTAAGTCGTCATACTCATGGTTTATATGTGTAATAAAGCCACATATACGTTCGTGGGTCATCTGTGTGTTAAGTAATTTTCTCTTTCTCCCCATACAGTGTTGTTATTTTTCTATACCCTTATCACCACACAAAGACCGGGTGTCGTATGTGTGGTGTCTCGGGCTGGTGACTGTGCTTGTTTTTTGTCTTCAGCCGTCAAGTGATTCCTTCTTGTGTGTTGTGGTTAATATTATTGTTAATGATACAGAAGGCTATGATACACCTTCCTCTGTTACTCGTTAAATAAGACAGAAAATCACCACATCCACTGATTCTTTCTACTTGACTTTTATCTCCACAGTGATATTCTTGTATGAAAGTAATATAAATCTTCTGGGCCATTGGATTGATAAGGATTATGTTTATTGATGTTATTAGAATAGACTGAGGAGTAAGGATAGATTAGTGAGCGTGGGGCTAAAGGAGGGTGGGAGTTGAGTCATGTTAGGTATTTCCCCTTTATCCTAGGCAGTATTGTGAGGCGGCCACCAGCTTGGCTTGGTGCAGGTGTGTATGTGTGCATCACCCTCTCGCCCTGCCCAACCCTTGCCTCAACCGGACCTACTACTCTCTGCCAGCCTGTTTTACCCGGCCCCCTGCAGCACCATCCTCTTTTGTCGACTTACTCACTTAGCATGTATAAAAAGTTACATACTAACTCCTCGTGAAAAAATAAATAAATACAGTCATACAGAAGTAGCCGGTTCGATATGCATTCAAATGGTCGTACTTTGATTCAGTAGTAATGTGGTGTACTGTATGTAGATTATGCTGTTGAAACACGAGAAAACTTTTTATACTTCAGTACTTACGAAAATAAACTTAAATAAACTCGTCCAACTAACTGAGGGGATATATGATATAACGACAACATTATTAAATAGATACATAATAATAACATCCCCTGCCTACTACATGTACTGTACAGTCCCATTCCATCTAACTGGGTGGCTGGTGTATGGAACCCATTCATACCTTAACAGACACCTCATCTATCAGAACCAGTTATGTACACGGATAAATCAATGTACTGTAAACAATTGTTACAGCCAGTCCATCACTTGCTTATCTTTACATCCCCAACTCATGAACTCTAGACTGCCTCCTGTTCTACTAAAACCCAGCGGGTGTTAATGACACTTATCTATCGAATCTTATTTTGTCACCAGTTAATGTTACCAAAGAGTTAGGGTACACCGAGGAAAGCTATTGGTGTGTGTAGGTCGATGGTGGGAGGAACACAGTTAACAAACGCTATACTTAGTTCTGCTTCAGTGTGTGATGTTCAAATTACCATCGGATATGTTTAGTCTTCTGTATATTTTGCCTCGGTGTTGCATTTGTTTATTTATTTGCTCCTGTAAGAAACATTTGGTGTTTTGAAACCTGGAATTGCCGTTTTCAGTCATGTGCATCATTACTTAAGGTTATTTTGTGCAATTGGTTCAAATGCCTCGAGACAAGCAAAAGACTCGACTCCAAATACATCAAGCACGTGATAAGATGGAGATAATCATGTAGAAACTATACAGGTGTTAGGTAATTCTTATATTTGTGGGAAGAAAAAATTTTACTTGCAACGCATATAAAACTTGCTTCATAAGGAGAGAGAGAGAGAGAGAAAAAAAAGAAAAACTGCATGAGAACTGGTAGAGGTGGGTGGGTGGTTGGGGCAGGAGGAGAAGCAGTGTGTGTCCGAGGCGGTGGAGGACCTGAGGACCCCGAGACCCGTTGTAAGGTTAATGCCTCCCGTCACCCCACCACCCTCCACAGGGAATCAAAGAGCCAGCATGTTACGTCCACGACTACTCACTATTCTACCGTAGTACTGCTCTAACGGGAGGGAGGATGCCCGCCAACCTTCCCCTCACACACATTTTCCCTCACTCGTCGCCCTTAATGCACTCATGCTCACCTCTCATTATTCATAAATCTCTCTCTCTCTCTGCTTTTACGTGTCAACCCCAAGACTCATTCTTTCTTACCCCCCCAAAAAATGCATGTCACTAATCTTCACTCTCGCCCCCTCTTACACCACTGTCTTCTTTTCACTCACACTACGTTCCAGCTCCACTCACCGCCATCCCTCTGCTCACAAACGCCATCCTTCTACATTGTGTCTTGGTGATTATCGTAAATATTGTCTTGGGTATTAAAGCTTTAAACGCGGTGTAGTCTTATCCATCACGAAATATCTTACTCGTCGCTATATAAAATACCCGTCACATAATTTTATTGAGATTATGGGAAGCGAACATCCTCAGCTGGTGCGTCTGAATATGCTTTTAACCTGGTACAGTACATCTAATTTCTTCATTTTTTTATGACAATTTGCTTACAGAACTTGTGAGTAAGTTGGTAGTCGAGACTAGTGAGTAACGAGAGGTGGTTGGTGATATAGGAGGTGTGTGTTGTGGCCAGGGATGGCGGGAGAACTACCCAGTGTGGGGCGATCTCACTGCTACACCAGTTGCCGGATAACGGTTTAACTTACACATTTATTTCCTTCCACATCCCCCATCAGGTGTGTCTCGACAGGTTGACTGGGTTTGGGGATAATAATAACGATGATGAAGTAAATGGGACTGATAGGATGGAGTGTGAGTGAGAGTTAGATGATTTTGTTTGTGTGAGTGTTGTAGGGCCCCGCCTCCGGCGCTGAGCAGCCGGGCCACCGCGTTCACCTGGCGGCAACTAGTCAGTTGGTAAGGAGGCCGCAGGTACGACGGTCCTCGCGTAGCCTCCTCTCTCTGTCTCCTGTGTTGCTTCTCGGTTTTATTGTGCATGATCATATTGTTGCTCCCAGCGTGAGGAGAGGTGTTAGTAGTGGTGGGCGGCAGTGTTACGGTGGTAGTGATCAAGGGCACCACAACACCGTTCCTAAATATTTACAGTAGTGATCGTGCCATGTAAGGCGGCCTCATGCCTAGTCGCGGGTTTTTCTCGCGGGCGGTGCACTCCAGCAGCTCGGTGAAGCCTGGACCCGCGTCCCTCCCGCCGGGCAACTCTCAGGTGCCCCATCCTATATACCCGGGTTCTACTCCTCATATAAATAAAAATGGTGGTTGGTGGGGAGTCCCTCCCTGGCTACACAGAGGCAACAAGGGCCTTCCTCGCCACAACTCAGGACCCATTCCTCAGGTGTCCCCATCAGGACCTTCATCTTTTCCGGGCACCTCACCCGGCACTATCATCAGCACCCTCCCTGGCACCCTCCCAGGGACTCTTCCCGCCAGTCTTTCAGGCCCTCACCCTGGAATCCACACCAGCACCCTCCCAGGCCGCACCAGTCATCACCCATACTATCACCATCACCCGCATCACCATGACCAAAAACATCAAAAACTTAATGTAGACCATAAACATCTTCAAAAGGTTGAACAGAAAAAGCATCAACAGCAACTCTATAAGAATCAGCAGCAGCAACTTCAGCTTCAACAAGTGTCGTCTCGTGCCCCGTCGGTGTTAGGGTCTAGGCCACCCTCGGTGTTGGGGTCTCGGCCACCTTCGGTGTTGGGGTCTCGGCCACACACCCCTCATGACCCCTTCATAACCAACGGGTCAGATAATGGGCCACAGTCATTGCCATCCACATGGCCGACACCAGTGCACCACGACCGAGAAGAGCAAGTTATCCAACACCAGCAACAAGACCTCCTGCACCAGCACCACCACCAGCCGCTACAAGAACAACAACAGGAGAAGCAGGAACCAAAGAGAAATGCTGCGCTAAATCAGCTGGTGAGTCGATTATTGATTATATATATATATATATATATATATATATATATATATATATATATATATATATATATATATATATATATATATATATATATATATATATATATATATATATATATATATATATATATATAATGGGGAGTTATTGGGGTGTACGCAGCAGTGACCCATCAGTAGACACAGCAATTGGTGGTACAGGCGAAGCGCTGTCACTGGTCACTACATTATTCATCTTTCTTTCTCAATTTACTATGACGATAACAGTCCCTGTAAAATGTTTTTGTGTTTCGTCTGTCGCTATGTGTAGTAGTGCTGTCGTTATGGTTAAACTGTGCATATCAGATCAGAGTATAAAATGCAACTCGGCAGATTTTTATTTGCTCTAACTAAACGCTACATGGCGTCACCTCTGCTGCTGCCGCCCATTGGTTACATGCATTCTTACTTCTTAAATTATGTTTGATGAAGTTATACATTCAGTCAGATATATCACAGTGAGATTAATTATCTGTTGACGTATAGTTGAGGACAATTCTCAAATAGTCCTCAAGTGTGGTGTATTGATATTGAACTCGAGAGGAAGTGTGACGAGTTGCTGCCACTCGCCAGACGCTGCGGTTGGTTGGCTGCCCTGTCGCTTCACTCCTCTTATCTGTTCAGTTAAAGTTACCCTGCCGTTGATGAGGGCTTCATATAATTATAGTCATTACAGGGTAAGTTAATACTTCAGATGTGTATTGATACTATCTGATTGTACTGTGTCACCTTGTTTTGTACTTCACTGTAGACTTTTTTCTTGAATATTTTGCTCCATTGTTGCCTTATTTTTATTTATTCTTTCCTGATTTTTGCCTCATTAAATAGACATAAGAGTGGAGTATAACGTGAAGACAATAATATCGTTGAAGGTTCAATGTAAGCGAAAAAATACCTGGGAGGTAATTAAGAGATATCAGGCAGACGTCAAGGCCACTTGTGACTGACGCCTCCAGGCGACCAGAGGAATTCATTTTGGAGGTTCCAATATTCCACGTCGAGTCTTTGTTATGTCTTCTCTCTATATAATATTGAGCTTTAATTGCTGTCGGCGGCGTATACCTGACTGAGGTTCATTAGTTCTCTTGTATATTTGATATGGAATATTAGTATAACTGTTCAATATGGTATATAGATGTTATATTTTACGTTATCCGCGGACGAACTTATATGCATTAGTATAAAGTTTTTCGTACAGTTTCTGATAATTTCACACAGATTTTGAAGAGTATATTAGGTTCTGATCATGTTAATCACTGTACTTGTGAGTAGTGGTGTCATCGTAGGCCTTATGATACGAGGGGCAGCAATACTATCCCAATAAAAACTCACTGCAGGGAACCCCTCGACTCCCGGACTGCTTCTACAAGAACACATGACTTAGAAAAACCTGAATTCATCTCCCCTCTCATCCTATTGTAACTTTAGTATTTTCATCTGGCCATCGCTGAGGAAATACCATCGGTATTGTGAAAGTGTTATTCTGCTTTGATATCTCCCCTAACTGATATACACTTCCCGTCCTCACTCCAAGTATCCCGAGAAACATTACCCCGTCACATCCCTCCCTCTCCCACTCACTAGCAAAGGGTTCGAATTCACACTTTAGAGTTTGGGGTTCACGCCTCAAGGAGAGAGAGAGAGGGGGGGGGGGATTGGCAATGCTAAGTGGTAAACGCAGGAGTGGAGCCGACTATACCTGATGAATAACAAATACCGGCAACATTTGGGTATTAACTGAATCCTAATCAGTGTTTTCAGTCATGTTCTTACTCACCCCATTGTGATTTAATCATCCTGGAGGCGCCAGTAACCAAGGCCTTGCCGCTCCAGATGAGTGAGTGTGAGGAGGATTGAAAACACTTGATTACTGTTCTAATTAAGACTCGGTTGTTATTGTTGTTTATTACTCGTCATTTATACTCAGGTTCTTCCACTGACTAACAAAGGCGTCCAGTACAATGTCAACAATATAGAAGAGTGTGATTTGTGTAGTCTTTTTAAGTTTTATATTGCTCGTCAGTCTTATATTTACTAGGAATCGTTGCGTCTTACCGAGAGAGACACTAGGGGTTATTAGGTGACCCGCTGTGGGTAACATCATCACCCATATTATTAAAATCACTGGATGGTTGACGCCCCAACCACGACACTCGCCTCCTACAAAACTGTGTGTATTGAGGAACCTGTAGACACCCGGAACACTTAGGAGAACTTTGGAACTTTTGATTATCATTATGCTTTAGTTATTTGTATCAGATTACTGTGGATAGTGTGTGTGTGTGTGGGGGGGGGGGTCATAGTGGTTGGTGCGCTAAGCAAAAATAAAATTGTTTTGGAAATACAAATGATAGCGATTGTCGGAGTTGATGGTGATTGTTGCCTGTGGGGATGAGCCGCACCTTTCCGCCACAATCTTTGTCAAAAATACTTAGTAAACTTCGTCTGATTCGTGTCCTTGTACTGCTGAAAAAGGTAAGCATTGCCGTAGCTTGGTGGTGAACTGGTGATGCTATCTCGTTGGGGTTTGTGTACAAAACCTGCCGTGATAAATAGTCCTCGGGCTTTAATGAAGTATTGTTTTTACGCATAATGATTGTTTGAACACCAGAGAGCCCTGTCTAACATACCATTGTGGGACCCTCACTTTGAAAGATGTGGGAAAGTTTCTACGGAATGCTAAAAGAATGGCACACTAGAAAGGTCCCGCCCCTTTGCTCCATTCACACCTGAGACTCATTTCAAGATTTTCAGTGTTCATCATTAATAAACTTGTGCACTGTTATGGCCATGTAATAAAAATGAATTACGTCTATCGATTCATTCGTCAGAGAAACTTGTATTGACAACATAAACGTCATTTTTAACCAATTGATTACAAACTGGTATACTTCATCACCGTCGCCTAAAGTTGTACGTGTCATCCAAATGTTGCTGTTTGACTTTTTACCCTGTTGTGGCCTTGGGCAAGACGACCAGCGTCAGAGTCGAGAGATGCCACTCAGAAACGTTGACTGGTGAAGTAACACCATTACGATCACTAAAGGCTGTGACACACGTCTCCTTGGGTTCTTGTCGATGCGTAACACCAAACTCGACCGAAGAATTTGGAAAACATTGATTATATGCCGTCGCCTCACACCGCGACGACAGCTCCCCAGCTACTGATAGGCTGTGTCTATTTCCGAACTTCAGTCACTGGCGACTTAAGCAATAATACGAGTGTTTTTCATAAATGCGTGTGTGTGTGTTTCCAGTTGATTCATAGTTACATAACGTAGCCATTTCATAATTTATTTTTTTTTTCATTTGACCAATTATCGCCACTAATGAGTTTTTATTATTATTATTATTGACACGCTCGCACGCACACACGAGAAAGCGAGAGAGATGAGAAGAGACGATATATTTCAGTCTTATCTAAAATTATTTTTTTTTTTACACTCCCGAGTCTTGGCGGCGTTATCAGGTAGCGACACGGTTAAAGGTAAAAGTTTTTGACTTCTCTTCTCTTTCTCCCTCTATTTTTGTTCTGTCTCCTCCCACGACCGCTGCGTCTCTCTTTGTTCCCCAGACTGGTTTGTGAGTCAACCTGTGGCCAGTTGTTGTGCTTGTTTCCTCTTGGTTGCCTCATGCTCCCATCACCCATACCCACCCTTATGGACTCGGTAAACTACATTCACGTTCTCTGTAAACTAACACGCTACGGGTGATGCTTAAATACACCCCCATGTTATTAGTTAACTAGACCTGCATGCTATCTTCACTTGTTATTTAATATTACGACAGAAAGGTTAAAGGTGCCTCTCTGTCTATGTCTTAATATTGAGGGATTTTGATATATGAACTGGAATATTTGCCTGTGTTAAAGTTTTGGGAATATCAGTTTAAGTTGGTTTCCCCGAGCAAGTTTGTTGGTGAATCTAATCAGAAAGTGATCGATTTCTTTGTGCTCCTGATGAAACAAGTGAATTTATTCAAAGCAATTCCTATACACATTCGTCATTTCAGGTATATAAACAAAGTAACAAATAGCGTTACTCACAGCCATAAACATAATATTAGTTGTGAAACTTCTTATGTGCAAAAGATAATCTGGAGTGCAACATTTTAACAGTTGGTGATATATGAAAGAACCTCTACTTATCTGTGGTTGGAAATACGGTGTGTGTGTGTGGTAGTGGAACGGAGATATTACCAATGGTAAAGGGGTTCTGGGGTATTACTATCGGGTGGGTGAGACGTATGACATGGTATAAGGGTACTGGTAGTTGGTGGGGCGTGAGGCTGGTGGTGGAGCGTGCAGTGCAAGGTTGGGTGGGGTGAGCGAGGTTCAGGCCGTGATCTGAGAGATGCTTGGTTGCTCAGGAGAAACTTTTGGCCGCCACTCCTGTCGGGTTTCATCTCCTGGGTTGGGTTGATGGCGACGCTCCCTCCCTCCTTAACTCTCCACAATTTGTTGCACGCCAGCCACATCTGTCTCTCGTGTACACTTTTACTATACTTTCAGTCAACATTTGATGATAAACCGTACTTTTCATTGTACGGATCTGAACTCTGGAGTTCTTGCATAGATGAAACAGGATACAATATTACTAGAAAAAAATGGCATTTATTAAAAGAAAGTGCAGCTACATTTTTTAAAGTTTTTGAAGGTAAAACCAAGTGAGACTGTAGATATGGGAGACGAGTAGGGAGGTATTAGTCATAGCGAGATGCAAATCTGCGTGCATGTGGACTACGACAAGGCAGCACCACCTACCTACCCGCCTCACTTAACACACCCACTTTCTCTTTTTCACGGACCTGACTCCTGCTGAGGAGAAACACAGGTGCAGTCATCGTTTAAGGGTTCAGTAAATGTTACATTCATACACTATATTGACGGGCTGTTGGGAGAGAGTGGAGCCAAGGTGGGATTGACACGTAATGTTTGTTAATGACTCACTGCTGATTACTGT